ATTGATGTATATGATTTTGAACTTAAGCACAAGAAAGGTTGTTACAATCGCGTTGCGGATGCTTTGTCTCGCCATCTTGAGTACATGACTTGCCTTGTGGGTTCCTATGATCTCCGTAAGAATTTGAAAGAGGAACTCATTGAGCATACTGCCAAGGACCCGGAACTCAGTCCCATCCTTGAGCAGATTCGGGCTGACCCTAGCAGTCAGCCTGATTTCCACGAATGTAAGGGCTTACTTTTCCGACGTTACGAGAAGCACGACCGACTGTGTGTACCCAACCATGAGCTGATCCTTCCTCACTTCTTGGACTTGGCTCATGGTCGGAGTGGACACTTCGGTTTTGAGAAGACATACGGAAGTCTACTGCAAAAGTTTGTATGGCCTGGAATGAAAGGAATGGCACGAAAGTTTGTGGCTGAGTGTGAAGTCTGTCAACGCATCAAACTGTCTCGGCAGAAACCCTATGGGCTGCTACACCCTCTTCCTATTCCTGATGGACCGGGGGAGTCGCTTTCCATTGACTTCATGGACATGGGAAAGAAGAGTAAGAATGGATATTCGCAACTGATGGTGATCGTTGACCGCTTCTCAAAGTTTTTGAATCTGATCCCATTACCACCTCACGCCCCAACTGATCTTGTGATCAAGGAATTCAACAAGCGGTATATTCTGCAATGTGGGCTCCCGAAAACTCTTGTGAGTGACCGGGACACCAGGTTCATAAGTGCAGATTGGAAGGACTTCACCTCCCAGACCTATGACATGAAACTCAAGATGACTTCTGGCCGACATCCCGAAGCCAATGGACTGGCCGAGGAGATCAACCAGACTGTGATCCAGCTTCTCCGAGCTTTAATTGTGCCTGATCAGAACTCTTGGGATGAGGAATTGCCAATTGTGCAAGGATTGTACAACAATTCCATACACTCTTCCACCGGGATGACACCTAACCGGCTGCACCTTGGGTGAAGATTCGAATCCCCTGTCTTATCTGTTTCCTGAACAGCCACCTGGGCTGACACCTGGCCAGCCAGGTTACAGCGCTAAGTTTGATCGTTTGCTCAAAGTTGTTGTCGCAGCTATGGAGAGGCCACGCAGTGCTATGATTAAGCATGCAAACAAAAAGCGTCAGCCTGACCCTTTCACGATGGGAAGTTATGTCTGGGTCAAGATGTCTGAATTTTCTGAAGAGGAAGGCGTATCACGAAAGCTTCTTCCTCAGTATTACGGTCCGTGGAAGGTGTTGAACCGGGTAGGAAACGATTCCTTTGGTCCCTCTTACACAATCGATGTGCCCCCTCACCTACGTACGTACCCAGTCTTTCATGCGTCCACGCTGTTTCAGTATAAATCACCCGACACTTTCAAGTACCGAGAGTCAATGATTCCTCGCGCAATCCAAGGCTGTCACGGGGTTGATAGAATTGTTGAGCACAGTGGGAAGGGAAGAAACAGACAGTACAAAGTCCATTTTCTGTACCACCCGTTGAATGACTTCTATTGGATCGCTAAGAAAGACTTGCTGCAGAGTGCCCCGCGAGTAGTTAACACATATGAGCGACTGATTAGTTCTGAACAACAGCCTAAATTCACTGCTACCCTCACTCCTACGGAACATACCCAGTCTCTCTTTGCTATTTATGCTTATGATGCACTATGCAAGGACTCTGATTGAGTTACTCGCTCGAAGGGACCTCGCTCTTGAGGGGGGGGTAGTGTAATGACCCGCCATAACACAGACTGAGAACACTGCTGATTTCTGAAGTTCTGCTGATGGAATGGATGCCTTGCCAAGATTCCCGTATTCTGCTGTGTTTTCTAAGTCTGTATGTGTGCGTGCCTGTTGATTTGCGTGCCTGTCTGAGTGCTTGTCGGCATGAGTGTGTGTGTGACCCGCAACGGTACTTGCTTGTTTGGCAGGCCCGTAGGGCTGGTACTTAACCTGTGGCCGTGGCATTGAGGGTGGCAGCAGGGGAAAACACTCGAGTAGTGGAGGCAGGGCCCCCCCTGCACCTGGAGCAGCGGAAAAGCACTCAAGTAGCAGGTAGGCCGGTACCACACCCAGTAGCAGTAGATGTGCCGGGTACTTGAGGCCGAGCAGAAGAAGACAAAGTTGGCATTTTTAGAGGCCCAGTAGCTGTAGGCTAGGTCTAGGCCGGTACCAGTCCATCCAGTCTGAGTCTAGAGCTTGTGCGGGCAATATCAGAGTCTGCAATGATGTTTCCCTCCGAAAAGGAGGAGGTACCGGTTGCTTGGGAGGCCGAGCGGCCTGGAAGTCACCGCCCAAGAGGCAAGCAGGCCGCTATATCAAGAGGCTGAGGCAAGAGCTCAGCCTCATTCTTCAATGTGCAAGTTTGGCGACACGCTGCTGGAGCGCTGGCTGGAGTGGCGCTGGGTACTATAGCGCTGTTGGGAGGAAGAAGTCGGGAGCTTCCACCTTGGTTATGGTGGAGCTCTACCGGTAGGAGGAGGAGGGAGAAGGGGACCAAGGAGGAGAGTGGCGAGGCTCACTGTACTGGCTATGGTAGACACCAATCTCCTGGCTAGGCGCTGCATCAAGAAGGCCCCAGTGGGGATAGTGCCGCATCAAGGAAGCTCGGGACAAAGTCAGGCATGGTGGCTGAATGGGCAGCGACATAGCTGCATGGTGATGACCTTGAAGTGGGGCAGCGGGATAGCTGCTTTGGGTTGTTCTTTGGACAGGAGGCTGAAGCCTTAGTAGTCCGCCATAGCCTCGGCCTGTATGTAAAGAAAGAGGAAGGGTTGACATGGCTATGGTGGACCTCATGTTGTGCCTGCAGTAGAAGTGGGATTCGGACATTGGTTCTGGTTCAGTCATTCAACATTATTATTGTTATTTCTTGTTTGAATAAGAGGGGAGGAGATAAGGAGGAAGGGATTGGTTGGCGAAGAAGAAGAGCCTTGACATTGGTCTATGCTGGAGTATATCATCTTCTTCTTCTTTCTCACTTCGTCTTCTTCTTTCCCTCTCTTTCCTCTCAAGTTCAGTCAATTTCTTTTTGCAATTGGATGGCATTGTACTTTCAGATGAATGTATACTTTGAAATTTGCCAGGATCGTAACAATTAGAAATGATTTTGAAAAGGAAATGTTGAAAAAGAAATGTCGAAAAAGAGTTTCATTAATTCTAAAATATTTTCGAATTACAAAATTTTGAAAAAGAATTAATTAAATTTGTTTTCAAAATTTGAAGAAGAAATGCTGAGAAAGAAATGATTAATCCTATGTATTTTTAAAAATTTTGAAAAAGAGAATACGTTTGAGAAAGAAATGTCGAGAAAGATAGTTGATCGAGTATTTTCGAATTTACAAAAAAAAAAAAAAATGGTTCTAGAAATAAATAAAATGAATTTTGATGTAAATCGAGGGCGGAGCGATCCTATCTACTATTGATTGGGTAGGTAGGGCACGGGTAGATTGATGATGATGATGGTGATGATGCTTATTCTATGGTAAG